CATCGTGTTATATTCCAACCTTCCAGAGACACACCTCTAAGTTCTTACAGGATTTTTAGTTTGAGAGAGACAACATGGTGATGTGGTGACAAGCTAGGGCCATGGTGCCAGAATGCCTACATTCAGATCCAGGTGTGACCTGGAGCCACTCAGAAACCTCACACCACTTGTTGAACAGCTCTCTGCCTCAGCTTCTCGCCTGTAAAATGGAGATGATAACCATACCTATAGCCTAAAAGCCTTTTGAGGATTAAATGAGTTAACGTGAGTGAAGTGCTGAACACTGCACCTGGGAAGCAAGGTGTACTCCTGTATTTGCCATTCTTTTCCAGAGACCCCAATTCAAGTGAAAATTTCTCAGAGCCTCAGGAAGAAATCAGATGATAATCAGAACCTTTTGTAAAAGGGTCAACTAAGAACGTTATCCTTTAGGAAAAGGAAGAAAGTACCCAAGCAGGGCTGAGGGTGCACTGGGGAAGAGGGGGAAAAAGATGACAAAGAGCAAGGAAAGACCATTAAAAGGCCAAAACCAAACAAACAGGCAAACAAAAACCAAACCAAAAAAAAAAAAAAAAACAAAAAAAACCCAAAACCAAAAGGAACCTTTGCTTAACTGCAATTTTTTTTTTTTTCAAAGACAAGCTTATTACTCAGAGGAGAGGCCTGAAGGGCAGAACTTGTTGACAGTAAGCATACCCGTCTTTCTTGTAATTCAACCTAACCCATAAGGAGGATGTTTCCCTTTCAATGACTAGATCAGCCTGTATTAGGGCCGCTTTATTTGGATGGATGGGAAGCTGTCTAAGAGGGAAGTATCTTTCTGCTAGGAAGTTCGTCTATGGAGATAAACACACACATAAATACAAAGATCTAATATATGTTGATCCCCAAACGTATTTTGAGGGTCTGACTCTTAAATTACTTGAAATTCTTCTTGTATACGACAAGTCTTCAGGCCTGAGAAAAGGACTCTTTTATGGAGGATCATGTAGTTGACGTTATCTGGTTCTATAAACACAGCAAGAACACAACTTTTAACTACAGTCACTCCCTGGGGCCTGTATGTAGTTCTATCAATGTAGACAAGATATGCCTCACCGCTTTTAAGCTGAAACATCAAACAGAAAAGTGTCGTTTGATTTCCTACTTCTCCTTCCACCCTCTACCCCTCCCAACTTTGGTATGATGTCACACGAAATTACTTCCAGAAACTGGGAGGACTGAGCAGCCGAGTTATAAAACCTAAGTAAGAGGCTTACAGCTTTCTTATCTACAAGTTAATACTTAAGGGGGCGAGAGTCTATCAATGATCAAGGCCATGGTAATTTTCCTGTTTTGTAAGAAATCTAAAATCTCAGCAGAATCACAGCCTGCCGAATCGACCACATTTGTATGAACCATACAAGCACCTATCCCTCTACAAGACTGCTACCACGACTCATAAATTTGTAAACCTGTATTTTAAACTTCATCCCTACTTTTAATCAAGACAGAAAACCAAACAGATTGCTTTTAACGTAATCTTTGTGGTAAAAACAAAACAAAAATAACATGGAGAATAAAATATTAGCCAGTTCCTGTACTTGGGTGCTTACTTACCTCTCCCCTGCCCTCACCTTTTCTAAAGTTTTCCATTATGATTTTAAGATGTTATTTTTCCCAAATAATGTTGACAACTATTTCCCACTTAAAGCTCTGGTTTAAAAAGAAATCGGGTTTAACTTGAGAATAACTCAGAAATTGGGCTTGTCCTAGGGTCCTGTGAAATCACAGGAGTTAGTACTCTAGAAGCAAAATTTCCCCTACACACTTTTCACTTAGAAGTAAAGGTGCTTGCTTCCTTTGACAAGAGGTTCATAACATACAGTGGTGGTAAAGTTGGTTAAAGAAACTGTCAAAGGTTTTGTTTTGCATTATTTAACATTACATCATAGAATTAAAACCTGAAAATGGAAGTCTATCCATCTCAATCACTAAATCTGGTCAGGTGAAAGTCTACAAAACTCTAAATTAAAAGTTTTTTCATCTTCTTACTGAAAATACCTAAACACTGTGCTGAGACTTATTTTTTAAAAAGAATATTAAAGAAGAGAGCTTGGATTTGAAAAGGACAATGCCATACACTTTCTATGCCTCCTGTTCAGAGGCTGACGGACTGCCCAACAAACTTGCCACACTGAAAAACTGTTTAATAATTCTCCATAAAGGAAAGATTTTAAAAAGCTATGGCACCAATCAGGTAACAATACATCAATCAGGTTTTCCTAAATGTAGTATTTGCAGTTGAAGCCTGGATAAGTAATTACATTCAAAGTAATGTACAGGGAGCTATCAATCCCCATTCATTCAGCACACATTCACTGAGCCAAGAGCTTTGCTGGGTTTGGAGATATAAAAATGAATACGACACAGCTGCGTACTTCCAGCTAAAAAAATATACCTAAACAAAGAGCTACAGGGCAATGTGTTAAGTGTTATAATAGAGGTGTGCACAAAGGGCTGAGGGCCAAAGGAAAAAGCTATAAATTCTTCCTGGGAAATCAAGCAAGTGAGGGGAGAGATAAAAGAAGGTATGGTGATGTTTCCTTGTGATAAACTCGACTTTTTCTTTACTGTGTTGTCAAAAGTAAGACAGTAATTTTAGGATTTATGAACTGTTCTCGTCGCAAGTGCTAAATTGGTCTACAAGCCAGTTTCATTTATGTTTGACACAGACTTCCAGTTATAATATCCCAAGAATAAACATTTTAAAAATAAACGTGATTTGTAGTATTTCCACTCAACGCACACAATCCAGAACAGCACAAACACCTAAGTGAATGAAACTTAGATACAAAGTTCATAGATGTTTTGAAACATAAATGAATGAAAGACATATTCTAGAGACTTAGTGATATCATATTAACAATGCCTAAAACAAGTATCAATTTTTTTCTCTTCTTCTTAAAGCAAAACTAAAAGAATCACCTGATTATATCATGGTTAATATTTGTACTTCTCTACTTCTGTGTTTAAAAAATGAGGGTATTGAATCAACTTCTACTTATCATTTATTATGCATATCATATTCCTACTTATAACACAGTTGTGACAGAACCTCCATTGTCCATTACACACTAGCCCCAAACTTGAGTAATTCTAATGTAAGCATGAGAAACCACGTCTCCTTTGGGGTGAATTTCCAAATTCCTCTGTGTTAAATTGAGGTCTAATTTTCCCTGTGCCTGGTTTTCACAAGAAGGTCCATTCCACCCCATGTGCTCCTTTTCAGCTGTCAATAAACAGAGGCAGTGAATTCCCCCACGGCTTCACAAAGCTAGTTAGGCAGAGCCATTCATTCCTTCAGGAAAACAGGGCATTGATTTCAGTGAGTTCCCAGGGAGCAGCTGCAACAAAGAGATCAAAGGCCCACCTCTCTTTCC